CAGGAGTTAGGATCTGGGGAGGGGGGGGCTGGAATTGGAAATGGGGGGGGAGGTTAAGCAAGGTCTTTCCAAGAAGCAAAGGCAACTTCTGAAAGGGAGAACCTGTTCCTGGATATATGGGGGGGGGTCTTTCCACGTTTCCCAGATAGAGGGAGGGGGATGGGCAGGAAGGGTGGTGGTGGGGGTCTTCTCCGTACTTCTGGTCTTAACACACTCGGAGACAACCATTTGGGGAACCCCCCCTCCCACCTTCATTGCTCTTCCAGCCTCGGAGTGCTCTACTGGGAGAGGGGGGGGGATCAGGGAAGCCCCCTCCCCACCTGGCCAAAGTCTTCGCTGCTCCCCCTCTTGCCTCCCCTCCCCAGCTGTCCCTGTCACATCTGGAAGTCGCGTTCCCCCGCTCTCTGGCCGTTCGGGGTCGTCCCCCTCCGCCAAGCCTTCTCCCACGGCGCTGCCCACCCGGCTCCCCCTTCCCCAGCCTCGTCTCCCCGCTTGGGTCTCTCCGGCGGGACGCTGCGCCCCCCCCTCCCCGTAGTAGCGGCAGCAGCTCGCGTTCCCTCCCTCCTTTCTCCGTCTCTCTCTCCCTCTCCATTCTTCCTTCCTTCCTCCTTTTTCTTCTGCCTCCTTTCTCCTTCTTCCTCTCCCTTTTCTTCCTTCCTCTCTCCTTCCTTCCTTCCTTCTTCTTCCTCTTGCCTTTCTCCCTTCTTCCTTCCTTTGGCCCTCTCTCCTCCCTCCCTCCCTTGCTTCCTCCTTCTTCCTTCCTTCCTTCCTTCCTTCCCCTTCCCTTCCCTTCCCTTCCCTTCCTCGCTTGCTTCCTCCTTCCTTCCTTCCTTCCTTCCTTCCTTCCTTCCTTCCTTCCTTTCCATTTTTCCTTCTATCTCTCTTCCCCTTCCCTTCCTCGCTTGCTTCCTCCTTCTCCTCTCCTTCCTTCCTTCTCTACCTACTTCCTTCTCATATTCCTTCCTTCCTTCCTTCTCCTCCTCCTCGCCTGCCCGCGCGCCTCCCCCGCTCGCTCCGCCGCCCCTTTTCCGCATTCATTTATCGCTCGCCCGCTCCTCCGGCCCTGCTCCGCCTGCCTGCCTCCCCGTCCTTCCCTCCCGCGCTCCGGCCCTCCTCCTCCTCCGGCCGGCCCGGCCTGCCCTGCCTCGCTGCCCGCCCGCAGCCCCCTTCCCCGGACGACCCCCCCGGCTGCCTGGCTGCGAGGGACGGTGGGCACAGCCAGGCAGCCGGGGGTCTGCAGCGTCGGCGCTGCCCTGGCTGCTGGCTCGGCCGCCTCCTCTTCCTGGCTGCGCTCGCTCTGCCCATCCGCTCTCCTCCTCCTCCTCCTCCTCCCCCCCTCTAGTCCTCCTCCTTCTCTCCGCCGCCGCTTGCGCGCGAGCTGCCTGCCTGGCTGGCTGCCGTCCTGGCTGGCTGGGCTGGCAGGATAGGAAATCGATGCCACTTACACCTCCGCTGGAAGAGAGCGGGGACCAGCAGGCGCCGCTGACGCTCCTGGCCGGCGGGGTGGGCGGTGGGCGCGCGGGCGGGCGAGCGGGCGGGGGCGGCTCGAGGAGGGAGGTGGGGGGGGGGCCGCCACAAGCCTGGAGATTGTCAGCGCCGCTCGGCTGCCTGCCTGCCTAGCCTGCCTGGCTGGCTGGCTGGCTGCGCCGGCTGGCGGGCTCCTCCGCGCCGATCCTGGCTCGCCTCCTCGGCTCAGGCAGGCAAAAATCGATGGGGTTCGCCGCGCCGGGGCTTCCCCATTGATTTACACTCGTCCGCCTCCCAGCCTGCCTCGATCCCTCGCTCCGCGGACCTGGCGGCTGCCTCGCAACACAATGGAATAATCAATTCAGCCCTCCGCCTCTCCCTCCCTCCCTCCTCCCTCCCTCCCTCCTCCGCCCGCTCGCTCGCTCGCGCCTGCCTCCCTCCCCGCCCGCACACGCGCGCTCGCTCCCTCGCTCGCTCGCTCTCACGCACGCACGCACACCCCCCCCGCGTGCACGCCGCGCCCCCCCTCCCTTCCCCGGCCCAGCGGCGGCGGGAGGGGCTGCTCACTCCGGCAGGTGCAGCTTTTGGGGTAGGATTAGAACCGGGGTCCCCGGAACGCAGCTGGCCGGGCAGAGCCGCCCTTGATGGACGGAGGGCGGCCAGTCCTCGGTTTACGACGTTTTCGTTTCATAGGGAAGGGTGAATCCGTTCCAAGTAGTTAGTCCTCGACCTATGACGGTTTCGCTTAGGGACGAATTGTTAATCTAAAGTAATCCTCGATGGATGACATTGTCATTGAGGGATCAATTGATCCACTGAAAGTAGTCCTCGACTTAACGACAGATTTATTTCATAGGGATGACTAAAAAGAGTCCTCGCCTTATGACGGTTTCATTTAGGGACAAATTCGTGGATGGCAGATAGTCCTCAAGTTATGACAGTTTCCCTTCAGGACGAATGATGAATCGATTGGAAGTAGTCCTTGATTTCTGACAGTTTCGTTTCATAGGGATGAGTTAATCGATTCAAAGTAGTCCTCGATCTATGACGATTTTGCTTAGGGACGAATTGTTAATCCAAAGTATTCCTCGATTGATGACATTTTCATTTAGGGACCAATTGATCAATTGAAAGTAATCCTTGACTTACGACAGTTTTATTTCATAGGGATGTATAAAAATGACAGTTTCATTTAGGGGCAAATTAATGGATGGCAGATAGAATTAATCGATTCAAAGTAGTCCTCAATTTAACAACAGTTTCACTTAGGGATGAATTATTAATTGATTCAAAGTAGTCCTCAGTTTATGAGAGTTTCATTTAGGAACGAATTCATCGATTGAAAGTAGTCCTCGACTTACGACAGTTTGCTTAGGGACGAATTAATCGATTAAAAATAGTCCTCAACGTACGACAGTTTCATTTAATAGGGACAAATAAAAGACCTTAACGACAGTTTCATTTAATAGGGACGAATTAATCAATAAAAAGTAGTCCTCGACTTAACGACAGTTTCACTTAGGGACGAATTAATCAACTCCAGGTAGTCCTTGATTTACAACAGTGACAGTTCGAAGTTGCAACAGAAAGGAAAAAAGGAGACTCCTGGCCGTTTTTCACACTTATGACCATTGCAACCTCTCTGCGGTCACAAGATCGAAATTCAGACACCAGGCAAATGACTCGTACTTATGACGGTCGTGGCATCCCTGGCCCTTCTGAAAAGCAAAGTCCATGGGGGGGGGGAAGCCAGATTCACTTAATGACCGTGTTTACTAACTTAACCACTGCAGGTTTCACTTCACAAATGTGGCAAGTCAGGTCGTAAAATAGGGCAAAACTCACTTAAAGATGGAAATGATGGGCTCGTTGTGGTCGTAAGTTGAGGACTGCCTGTAATAATCAATAATGGTATTTGGTGGGGGTCACGACGATGATGTACTTGGGGGTGAGTTTGAATTCCCAGACAAGATAAGCCCTCCCACTTGAAAGTCTTACAACAACCTGATCAGGTAGGCCAGTGCAGGAAGACATCTTGACCCACTCAGACAAAGAGAGGAAGTTTGGATGGCCAGCCATCCTGAACTCAGGTAGTCCTTGACTTACAACGGTTCGCTTAGCGACCGTTCAAAGTTACAAGAGCCCTGGGAAAAGGCGTCTTGCGATCGGTCCTTGCACTTACGAACGACGTATTGTGATTTGTGACGTTCCTAGCCAGCTTCTGACAAGGTCAATGGAGGGAAACTGGATTCGTTCAACCTTATGATTCACTTAACGACCGAAATCATTGGTGAGCCTTCCCAGCCGGTTTCCAACAAGTCAACGGGAGAAGCTGGATTCATTTAACCAGCAATGTGATTCGCTTAACAACGCTGACCTGCTTAACAACAGGGGCAAAACATTGCAAAATCAGGAACCGCCTTGCTTAGCAATGGATATCCCGGTCTCCCTGGTGGTCGTAAGGTGAGGACTATCTATAATCGCATGGTGGGGGTGGGGGGGGAGGAAACCATGCACCAGGGCTTTGGCAGGGAAGCAGATGTGGCACAGGACTCACTTAAAAACCGCCTTGCTTAGCAACGGAAATCCCAGTCTCCACAGTGGTCGTAAAGCGAGGACCAGCTGTAATTTTTCTCAATCTTGGCTTAGCCCCCCAGAAAAATGGGACCGCAGTCATTTTTCTCCCCACCTTGCAAGGGTTCGCAGGAGTGCCTTGCCCCAGCTGTGGGCCCAATCCTTCCAAAATTGAGCACCCTCCAGATGTGATAAAAGAGAGCGGAAAGCCGAAAAGCTCAGGCAGAAAAAACTGCAGGAAAATTTGTTTATTTGTTTTTTTGTTAAATTGCAACCTACAAAACGTTGCCAGGTGGTGATTATATAGCGATGATGACGATGATCCCTCTCTGGGTCATTTATTCTAGCTAGGAAGATTGCCCTCCTCCTCCCTTCCCCCCCCTCCCCGCGCCATCACTTTCCTCCTGGAAAAAAGAGAGTTTATTGCAAAAATAAAAATAAATAAATGAGGGGGTTATTTTATTTTATTATTTTTTTTTGCAAAAACAGGAACGTTCTTTAAAGTCGGGACAATCTCAGATTTGGTTGCTTCCACGCGTGCCCGGCTTGTGCGTGTCTCCCCCAGCCTCTACCTCCCCCCCCCCCCAAAACAAAATACTGGGAAGAGTGGGGGGGGATGGGGAAAGTCTTGCTTGTCCTTCAGCGCAGGGAACCCGGGAATGTTGGCTTGCAAGGAGTTAAACCTGGGCTGTTTCCCCCCCCCCCATACCTTCCCTGGTTGGGAATGCACCCTCTCCCCCCCGCTGCTCTTAATTGCAGCTTTCCGGTTTCCCTGGCAACGGTGATCGAGGGAGCGAGACAGTCACATGGGGAGAGGAATAAAAAATAGAGCAGCCGGAGGAGCAAATTAAAAAAAAGGGGGGGGAGCAGGGAGGTAGACGAGCGGGCGAGGTACCTGCTGGGGAGGCGGGGAAAAACTACGACTCCCAAACGCCCTTGCGCCGCTCCCGGCCTTTGGCGCAGCTGCCCTTCCTTTCCCCAACCCCTCCTTCCCCCCGCTGAACGTCCGAACGAGGACTCGAGTCGTCCCTCTTTGTGTTCGCTTTGCAAAAGCCTCGCCGAGCTCACGGCTCGGCTCAGCCCGGCGAGCCCCTTTGCAAAGGAGGCTGGGAGTTGTAGTCCTAGGCCCGGGCAGCGCGAACATGGAGCGGGGCTCTGCTCGCCAGGCGCCCGCAGCTCCGGACCCCCAGCCGGGGGAAGGTCAGTGGCCTGCTCCGAGGACGGGCGGAGGGGGCCGGGGCGGAGTCGGAGCAACGGGCAGGAGTGCAGTTAATCCGGATTAAGCGAACAGTGAACTCCCCAAGCCTCATTCCAACCCTCCCCACCCCACCCCCAGGCCAGGCTGCGCTGCCTTTTGGCTGCCTGTCCGTGCTTAGCCGTGCAGTGAACCAGGAACGTGCAATGCACGCGAAAGGTGTCAGTTGCAAAACTCGTGCAGGGAACTAGGAACGTGCAATGCACGCGAAGGTGTCGGGGGTAAAATTGTGGGGATTTGCTAGTCCACATCTGAAAGCCATGAAGCAGGGCTCTTCAAACTGGGCCCTGTTAGGCCTTGTGGACTTCAACTCCCAGAATTCCTTGGCCAGGCACACTGGCTGAGGAATTCTGGGAGTTGAAGTCCACAAGCAGGGGTCTTCAAACTGGGCCCTTTTAGGCCTTGTGGACTTCAACTCCCAGAATTCCTCAGCCAGCGTGCCTGGTTGAGGAATTCTGGGAGTTGAAGTCCACAAGCAGGGGTCTTCAAACTGGGCCCTTTTAGGACTTGTGGACTTCAGCTCCCAGAATTCCTCAGTGAGGTACTCTGGCTGAGGAATTCTGGGAGTTGAAGTCCACAAGCAGGGGTCTTCAAACTGGGCTCTTTTAGGCCTTGTGGACTTCAGTTCCCAGAATTCCTCAGCCAGTATGAGGGAACTATGACCCTTTGATAACTTGTGGACTTCAACTCCCAGAATTCCTCAGCCAGCGTGCCTGGCTGAGGAATTCTGGAAGTTGAAGTCCACAAGCAGGGGTCTTCAAACTGGGCCCTTTTAGGACTTGTGGACTTCAACTCCCAGAATTCCTCAGTGAGGTACTCTGGCTGAGGAATTCTGGGAGTTGAAGTCCACAAGCAGGGGTCTTCAAACTGGGCCCTTTTAGGCCTTGTGGACTTCAACTCCCAGAATTCCTCAGTGAGGTACTTTGGCTGAGGAATTCTGGGAGTTGAAGTCCACAAGCAGGAGTCTTCAAACTTGGCCCTTTTAGGCCTTGTGGACTTCAACTCCCAGAATTCCTCAGCCAGCTTCTGGGAGTTGAAGTCCACAAGTCATCACAGGGCCAGGTTTGAAGACCCCTGCCGTAAAGGTTTCTTTTAAATTTTTCCCCCTGGTCCACTTTAGGTGATGCAGCTTACAAACCATGGTTTGTGCTTCATTAGCTTGTACAGATGGTCCCCAAGTTACAACCATTCGTTTAGTGACTATTACAGCGGCACTGCAAAAAATGATTTACGACCGTTTTTCACACTTAACGATCTTTGCACCATCCCTGTGGTCACGTGATCAAAATTCAGCCACTTGACAACTGACTCATATTTATGACGGTCGCAGTGTCCCATGGTTATGCAACCCTCTTTGTCGAACCTCTGACAAGCAACGTCAGTGGGGGAAGCCAGATTCACTTAACAACCGTATTATTAAAAAAATTGCAATGATTCGCTTAACAACTCTGGCAAGGAAGGCCGTAAAACGAGCCCAAACCCCCTTACCTGTCTTGTTTAGCAACAGAAATTTTGAGCTCAATTGTGGCCGTAAGTTGAGGACTGCCTGTATAAATGCATCTCAGGCTGATTTTCTCCTGAAATCATGGCAAGGCAAGGCAGCCCCTCAGAGGCCTGGGTTCAAATCCTCCACTAACCGTGACGTGGAGGGGGCACTGTTGTTCACCCGCTGCGGTCTGTCCCACCAACCTTGAGGCTGATCCTGAGTATAAAATGGATGGAAGGAAGCATCTTCAGATCAAGAAAAGAAAGCAAAGTTGTCATTAAATGAAAAATGACCTCTTCCTGAAACAAGAAGGAAGGAGAAACACAGGAAATGCTATTTGGGGAGATTAGAAACCATTTTTTCCCCAGTCTAAGCTTTCCTATAGTTGCAACCCTGTTGTGTTTTGAAACGATTAAGGCAGTGGAAGATGGTTTCTATTAGTCAAGCACTCTGATTCTGCTAGGACAGGGGTAGGCAACCTTGGCTCTTTTATGTGGACTTCAATTCCCAGAATTCCTGAGCCAGCCATGCTGAGGGAAAAGGGAGAGGTTTCCAAGCTGAGCCAGGCTGGCTCAGGAATTCTGGGAGTTGAAGTCCATCAGTCATAAAAGAGGCAAGGTTGCCTATTGCTGTGCTAGGAGGTACATCTGAAGCCTAAAAGGGACTTAGAAGCTTAAAAGCCCCTACACAATTTTGAATTCAAAGCCCTATCAATGTATTTTAAGATACTTTTCATCAGCAGGTTCTCCAAAACAGCAAAACCCGCTGAGCAAGTCACAAAGAGCAGAATCCAATTTGTTGCGGGAAAAAATCGCTGCGATTCTTCACAATTTTGGACCCTTTCTCTTTTTTGTGTGTGCCCCAGATCAGGCTTCCGGAGCCATCGAGGTAGAACAGAAATTTCTTTTCGGGCCCAACACCATCGAGAAGTTAGCCGAGCTGGGAGCAATCTTGGAAAGCCGTGTCTCTTTTCGTGACAGCTACTATGACGTCCCTGATTGGTGCTTGACGCGAGCGGATCATTGGCTGCGGGATCGCGAGGGGGTGGGCTGGGAGCTTAAATGTCCCCCGGTTAGGGTGGTGGGAAGCAAGGGGACCCTGTGTGCGGCAGAGACGGATAACCGTGCGTCCTCTCTGTTTTTGCAACCACCGAGGGACACAAGACCATCCCACGCAGCCAGTCAATACCAAGAAATGACGTGTCCCCAAAATATTGTGACGCGCCTCTGTGGTTTATTGGACAGAGACCCAGGACCGAACTGGAGTTCTTGTGTGAACAAAGCAGTAGAAGAACTGGGCTTGCAAGTGTTTGCTAGTTTTGTGACCACGCGGCAAAAATACCGTGCGGGGGATTTGCACGTTGATCTGGACACGGCGGATTTTGGCTATGCCGTGGGTGAGGTGGAAGCCGTGGTCCAGCAGTTAGAAGATGTCCCTGAAGCTTTGGAGAAGATTCAGGAGTTTTCCAGGCAGTTAGGTAAGGCTGATCTTCTTCAGTCTTGTGCAGTGGTTCTCAACCTTTTTAATGCCGCGACCCCCAACTGGTCGTAAGTCGAGGACTACTCAACCGGTCGTAAGTCGAGGACTACTCAACTGGTGCAGCACCATTTGCAGAATGGGACTTTTGGCGGGCACAGCAGGGCAGAGACAGCCTGGACAATTCCTATTGGCTTTTGAAAGCCAATAGAATTAGACTCTATTCAAGAGAGTCTATTGTATTGGCTTTCAAAAGTCAATAGAATAAAAGGGAGTAGCACAGCTAAAGAAAAGGGGAAAAATGGTGGACTGCATTGTTTGGCGACCCCCGTGAAATGGTCGTTTGACCCCAAATGGGGTCCCGACCCACAGGCTGAGAACCACTGGTCTTGTGGGTTTGTGTACGAATGTGTGATAAATTCAATATATTTTTTTTTAAATGATTGGATATCTTCGTCTTAAATTCTTTCTCAGCTTGAGAAAAGGACATTAGGAAAGTTTCAGATTTAAGTTGGCACCACCTTAGTTCATTTCTACTTGGAATTTTGCTCAGATTTTTGTTCTACCTTGTTGATAGAGATAAAACTCTTCTTCTTCCTGCTCTGCTAGGTTTGAGAGAAGAAACCGCCATTCCTGGCAAGATGTCGGTGTATTTGTACAGATTCAGACCTGCCCATTACCAGACCTTGACGGAGGCCGGAATTGTGCGGAAAGTGATCAATACGACGGAGGGCCAGGATGGAAAAGTCTGATGGGTCAAGAACCAGGATGGGGGAGAGAGAGAGTTTGATCTCCAAACTACAGGACAGTCCAGAATTATCTTTAAATTAAATTAAATTATCTTTAAATTTTAAAAAAGCATTTCAAATAAACTCTCCTTTTCCTTCCAAAAATATTGTAAGGAGAGTTTAATGTTTGTTTGTTTTTTTAATTTGGTAATTGATCTCTTCGCCTTTCCTTTAACTATGTTTGTCAGTTTCAGCAAAGCTGGCTGGGGAATTCTGGGAGTTGAAGTCCACCCATCTTAAAGGGGCTCATATTGAGAAATGCTGCTTCAGCATTTCATGAGCCTGACCTGATGTCACAGCAGGTGAGCCAATGACTGACGTGGGGAGGGGCTTATTGGCCAAAAATCACTGGATTATTCTAGAATTATCTAGGGCAGTGTTTCTCAACCTTGACAATTTTAAGGCATGTGGACTTCAACTCCCAGAATTCCACAGCCAGCAATGCAATGCTGGCTGTGGAATTCTGGGAGTTGAGGTCCACATGCCTTAAAATTGTCAAGGTTGAGAAACACTGATCTAGGGGTAAAAAAGGTTTGTCTCATGATCAGACTTAAACACCTTGAAACGTGATGGAGATCAAGAGATGGAAGAAGAAACATCTAAAGGAAGCTCAGCTTTTTAATCTGAACACACCGTCTAGCTAACTTTGCCCTTCATGCTACATTAACCTGGCTGGCTCAGGGTGTCGATGGCCGAAAATTGTGACATAGATTAAAAAGGGGTGGAGCTTGGATGATGTGATTAGGGCTGCCATCTTGACTTCCGATTTAGTAGGGTTTTAAGATTTGTGGACTTTAACTTGCAGAATTCCTAGCCTAGGGGTAGGCCACCTTGGCTCTTTTATGACTGGTGGACTTCAACTCCCAGAATTCCTGAGCCAGCCACGCTGAGGGGAAAGGGAGAGGTTTCCAAACTGAGCCAGGCTGGCTCAGGAATTCTGGGAGTTGAAGTCCACAAGTCATAAAAAGGGGCCATCGTTCCCCACCTCTGGTCTAGGGCAGAGGTAGGCAACCTTGGCTCTTTTATGACTGGTGGACTTCAACTCCCAGAATTCCTGAGCCAGCCATGCTGAGGGGAAAGGGAGAGGTTTCCAAGCTGAGCCATGCTGACTCAGGAATTCTGGGAGTTGAAGTCCACGAGTCATGAAAGACCTAAGGTGGCTTACCCCTGCGCGGCCTAGCCAAACAAAGCATAGTGGTTTGCTTGATGTTGGTTGCCCTGCTGGCTAGCTTTCCTTTCTGGTCCAGCTGACCAGAGATGGTGGGAGTTGAGGACCTCCGTGGTTAGCTTTAACCACGGGTTTATAAACAAGACATGGGCTGGCTTGGAATATGGCATGATAAGCTGGACTATCATGGCAGACATCATGTGCTCAGGAAGACACAAGGTTTAGCCTCAATGCTAGACGTGAACTGGGTTGGAGAAACCTTGTGAGAAGAACTCAAGGGAAATTTGACTTCCTCCAGCGTCAACATGTTGGACAGCTGGGGTGGAAAGCTGGAGACCAGGGCAGGAGAGCTGGTGACTCGGGTTACCCATTTGTGCCCAACATGGCTGATTCATCCATCGGGATGTGAGAAGCTGGTGGGACTCCACAGAGCAAAGTTCCCCAATCTTTTTGAGTTGTGAGCACCAGCCAGCCACTCACAGGGCCCGGCTGCGAATACACTATGGACCGGTAGTGGGCTCCAGCCCACAGGTTGGGGATCCCTACCATAGTGGACACCTTTGTGGACCTTGGAAAAAGTGCAGAGAAGAGCAACTAAGATGATTAAAGGCCTGGAGACTAAAACATACAAAGAACGGTTGCAGGATTTGGGTATGGCCAGTCTAGAGAAAAGAAGGATTGGGGGGGGGACATGATAGCAGACTTCCGGTATTTGGAGGGACTGCCACAAAGAGGAGGGGGTCAACTTATTTTAAAAAGCGCCTGAAGGCAGGACAAGAAGCAACGGATGGAAACTAACCAAGGAGAGAAGCAACCTGGAATTAAGGAGAAACTTCCTAACAATCAAGACAGTGGAACAGCTTGCCACCAGAAATGGTCTCCTGTTTGAGCAGGGGGCTGGACTAGAAGACCTCCAAGGTCCCAGCTCTATTCTGATTTTAAGATTCTTCCCTTGGTTTAGCTCGTGTTATGGGGTCCGCCGAGGGATGCGTATCTGTGGGGCAATTTAGGCAGGGCCAGATCTATGTGTGTGGGTGTGGGAACCCTGAGTCAGAACCTCTGGATTGACTCTTCCGAGGGAGAAAATCCGTGCGCGCGTGCGGCTGTTGTCGATTCGACAACCGGCTTCTCTTTGCTTCGTTCTTTATTGCCATTGATTTCCATTTAGTCTCGCTGGGTTGTTGTGGAGTTTCCCCATCTGGCTGATCAATTGAATTGATTTCCCTGGCAGTTGAAGTGAGGAGAGAGGAAAAAGCCGCGGACGAGCGATCGGGGTTCCCGTATTTACACCTCCGCACGTGTGTGCGCACCACACGCGGCAACGGTCTGGCACTGCTCGCGCGTTGGGAAGTCCTGCTTCGAAAGTACACCGTAACAGAGGTCCCCAATTTACAACAGTGCTGTTCAAAGGTACAACTGTACTGAAAAAAAGACCTATGACAGGTTTTCACAGGGAGGACCTTTGCAGCGTCCCTACGATCGTGGGATGAAAATTCAGACGCTTGGCAACTGTTTCGGACTTACGACGGTCACAGTGTCCCTGGGGTCCGTGCGATCCCCTTTTGCGACAGGCAAAGTCCATGGGGACGCCACATTCACTTAACAACTAGGTTTACTAGAAGAGAAGGAGAAGAAGAGAAGAGGGGGAGGTGAAGGAAAGGAGGAGAAGAAAGGGAAGAAGAGGGAGAGAAAAGGAGGAGGAAGAGAAGGAGAGGAAGAAGGGGAGGAAGAAAAGGGAAGAGGGAGAGGTGAAGGAAAGGCTGGAGAGGAGAAGAAAGAAGAGAGAAAGAAAGGAAAGAAGGGAAGAGGAGAAGGAGTAGAAAGGGAAGAATAGAGAGGAGGAAGAGTAGAGAGAAGGAGAGGAAAGAAGAGGAGAGGAGAAGGGCGGAAGAAGAGAATGAGGTGAAAAAGATGGAGAAGAGAAAGTAGAAGAAGAAGAGGGAAAGGAGAAGAGAAGGATCAGGTAAAGAAGAGCAGGAGGAGGGAGAGGAAGAAGAGAAGAGGAGGAAGTGGAAAGAGGAAGAGGGAAAAGAAAGGAAGAAGAGGAAGTAGAAGGTGGAGGAGAAATGGAGGAAGAAAGGAAGGGAAAAAAAGGAGAGGAGAAGGAAAGAAGAGGGAAGAGAAGGCAGTTTTAAGTGAAGAGAAATTGCTCAAGATGAGAAGGTGAGACTCAAATCTAACAAAAAAAACTAACTAAAATGGGAGAAAATTCATTTAACATGTCTCACTTCGCAGCAGAAAATTTGAACTTGATTGCGGTCGTATGTCGAGGACTATAAAGATATAAGGGAAGGAGGCTTTTAGGCTTTCCATTGTATGCACATCAGGGAAGGCTGGATGGCCTAGCGCAGGAGTAGGCAACCTTGGCTCTTTTATGACTCGTGGACTTCAACTCCCAGAATTCCTGAGCCAGCATGAGGGAAACTTTGGCCCCTTCATGACTCGTGGACTTCAACTCCCAGAATTCCTGAGCCAGCATGAGGGAAACTTTGGCCCCTTCATGACTTCGTGGACTTCAACTCCCAGAATTCCTGAGCCAGCATGAGGGAAACTTTGGCCCCTTCATGACTCGTGGACTTCAACTCCCAGAATTCCTGAGCCAGCATGGCTCAGCTTGGAAACCTCTCCCTTTCCCCTCAGCATGGCTGGCTCAGGAATTCTGGGAGTTGAAGTCCACCAATCATAAAACAGCCAAATTTGCCTACCCCTGGCCTAGTGGGTAAATCAAGGCGGGGGAGGGGGCAACGTACAGGTAGTCCTTGACATACAACCACAATTTGAGCCCAAAACTTCTTGTCATTAAGTGAGACATTTGTTCGATGAATTTTGCCCCATTTTACGACCTTTCTTCCCTCAGGTGTGAAGTGAATCGCTGCACTGGAGAGGGTTAGCAAACCTGGTTGTTAAGTGAATCTGGCTCCCCCATGGACTTTGCCTGTCGCAAAAGGGGATCGCACGAACCCCGGGGACACTGCGACCGTTGTGAGTCCGAAACAGTTGCCAAACGTCTGAATTTTGATCCCACAATCGTGGGGACGCTGCAACTGTGAAAACCTGGCACAAGTCACCTTTTTTTCAGTGCCATTGTGACTTTGAACGGTCACTAAATAAACTGTTGTAAGCTGAGGACGGCCTGTATTAAGAAGCTAACATTTAAACCCCGATAAGCCTCAACACGTAGTAACCTGCTAGCATCCATCAAGGGCCAGGAAGGCTTTAAAAAGCCAAAGCAATCGAGAATGTTTGTTCAAATGAAACTGGATTTAGAAAAGAGGAACTTGAGCGCCATATACTAATTATGGTAAAATGTCCTAATTGTTACTGGAAATTAGGTGGAAAAAATATGCCAGCTAAGCCATGTTGGCGGAAGTTGGGTAACCTGGATAAGGTCACAAGGTGACCTAAACAGAGTTGGCTCAGGGTGGGCTTACAGAGAAACAACTACAGTCAGTCCTTGAATTACAACGGTTCATTTAGTGACTGAAGTTACAAATCCACTGAAAAAAAGGGACACGTCTGTTTTTCCTTCTCGCGTCCCTCGGGGTCACGTGATCAAAATCCAAAAGCTTGCAAACTGACATGTACTTGTGACAGTTGCAGTGTCCCGCGGTGGCGTGATCTCCTTTTGCGACTGTCTGACAAGCAAAGTCAACGGGGGGAGAGCCAGATTCGCTTAATGACTGTGTGACTCCCTTAACAGCTGCCATGAAGAAAGGCCTTAAAATGGATCACAATTCACTTAACAACTCAGGAACATCAATTTTGGACTCTCTTGTGGTCGTAAGTTGAGGATTGCCTGTATAAAAATAACTCTGATTAGTGGGTGCGATCGCTCTGTGGTCTTCCTTCCACTAGTCCTCGACTTAACAACCTCAATTGGGCCCAAATGTTCCATCGTTTAAGTGAAACATTCATTTTGCCCCCGTTTTACAACCTT